CGGGAGGCTGGGGATATAGCTCAGTAGAATAAGCGTTTGCCTGGCAAGCGTAAGGTCCTGAGTTCAATCGCTGATACCACCAAAGGAAAAAAAAATTACATGGTCCTTTAGTCTTTTTTTTTTTAAAGGCACTACCTCTATTGAATTGGATGCTAATCTATACTTTCCCCTCCAGTGCTGCTTATTTATACTGTACTGCTTAGTAAACACAATTACAGCTTTTAACAATAATTTGTGAAGACTAATAAAGTGATTCAGTGGGAATGGAAAAGTCTTTTTAATCAGTTTGGATAAAGTGATGCTTATTTTATCCTCTGCCCTTAACTGGTTTTATTATCTGATTTAGATTTACTTTATTAACAGTTCTTGATAGATACAAGGAATTCTCATCTATGAGAAGATCTGAAATAAATATTGCAAATTTTTCTTACAGTGAAAACTTGATTTGAGGTGGAAGTTGTTCTAAAGCTTAACAACAGTGTAGAAAACACAGCTTTTAAAAATTTGACTTTAAGAATAAAGTAGCCTTTCGGCCAGAACCGCCATCTTCCAGTAGTTTGCCAAAATGACTAACACAAAGGGCAAGAGGAGGGGAACCCGGTATATGTTTTCCAGGCCTTTTAGAAAACATGGGGTTGTTCCTTTGGCTGCATACATGCGAATCTACAAAAAGGGTGATATTGTAGACATCAAGGGAATGGGTACTGTGCAAAAAGGAATGCCTCACAAATGTTACCATGGCAAAGTGGGAAGAGTCTACAACATTACCCAGCATGCTGTTGGCATTGTTGGAAACGAGCAAGTTAAGGGCAAGATACTTGCCAAGAGGATTAATGTGCATATTGAGCATATTAAACACTCAAAAAAGTTGTGATAGGTTCCTGAAACGTGTCAAGGAAAATGATCAGAAAAAGAAGAAAGCCAAAGAGAAAGGTACCTGGGTTCAGTTGAAACGCCAGCCTACCCCTCCCAGAGAAGCACACTTTGTGAGGACCAGTGGAAAGGAACCCGAGTTGTTGGAACCCATTCCCTTTGAATTCATGGCATAAACTGGGGATGTTTCTCTGCCATTCAGTACCTAATTGGCAGCTTAAGTGTTCTAGGTCCTACGTAAAAATAAAATCATCCTGTGTTGTAAGGGTGGTTTTCTTAGTTGAACAGGTATGTGGTGCCTTCTTACCTCAGAAATATTTGCAGCAGATTTTCACTGTGCCCAGTAATTGTGTCTAGTCTTTACTCTTCAGTATTTTCTTGCTGAGTGATATTGCTGAGGTATTGTGCAGATGTATACCCAAAAATTCAAATATTTATGAAGTATTTATATTGGCTTGAAGATCCTGTAAATCATCATGGGGAAAAGATGTATCAAAATAAATGGAAGTCACTTCAGAAACAAACTTAAGTCCATTTCAGTTAAGTAAATTGTTCAAAACACACATACATACACACACACGAAAGAAAGAAAGAAAGAAAGAAAGAAAAGAAAGAAAGAAGAAAGAAAGAAAAGAAAGTAAGTAAAGGGCAAAAGCAGCCCAACACCAACTGGAAGGGTATCCATGTCTCTTTGGTTTCTGCAATTCTCCAGTTAGGATGAGATCAGGACCAGCATAGGGGGGCTTCCTGTCTTCTGTAAACTCTTTTCTTATACTAGGCTACAGGTTTTCAGTCCATTTACTATATTCTAGTAGTTCTGCTGCACTGATAACAAGGTAAGTGCCTACTAAAGCAGTTCCAGTTCTGGAAAGAAAGTTTAGAAAGGGAGAGAAATACAGTTGTCTTTATAGTCTTTAGGATATTTAAATAATACCTCAGGATCCAGGGAAGCATAGAGCAACACTTAGATTTTGATGTAAACATTACAGGTTTTTACGTTTTATAATGGAAGATAGAATTAAAAATGCTTTTTTATCTTGATGCTCTTTTAGGGGTAGTCGAAGGTGATTTAGCGGCCATAGAAGCATACAAGTCTTCAGGAGGAGATATTGCACGTCAGCTCACTGCTGATGAAGTACGCTTGCTGAACCGTCCTTCTGCCTTTGATGTTGGCTATACTCTGGTACACTTAGCTATACGTTTTCAAAGACAGGATATGCTAGCCATATTGCTTACAGAGGTAAGTGTGGCATTTTGGTTAAATATTTTATACTAAGGAGATGTTTTCTTTAGCTTTCGTTTTTGACATAATGTTTCTGTAAGCAGTTCTTAAATACTTCATATATTTTTACTCACATTTAAGAAATATTAAACTCAAGCAATTTCAACAATATGTACATTTCTGTTGTTTTTGAGACAAGGTGGCCTTGAACTCACAGTGTAGTTTAGGCTGGTCTCAAAATTGTAGTGATTCTCCTGACCCAGACTCCTGCAGTGCTAGGTTTGCAGATGTGTGCCACCATGCCTAACAGTATAGAAATTTTAAGGCTGTATGCTTTCTTATTTTTCTTTTCAGATGAGATGTAACTGTGTCTTGGGCTGGCCCAAACTCTGAGGCTCCCCTGATCTTCCTGCCTCAGATTCCTGGGTAGTTAGCACTATAAATACACAGCACTTCCCGCAGCAAGCAGCATATACTTGTAGGTTTGTTCTCTCTCTCTCTCTCTCTC